AAAATTGTCTTTTAAGGTAAATATACAGTCAGGACTGGAAGAAGAATTATTATTTACATTTAAGTTACAGTTGGGGAGGGAAATTGCCATAAAATTAGAATGAAGGTGGACCTCTTCCTACTCCAGTTTAAAAGCTGATATTATCTATCCTAATCTGTCCAAAAGTCAAGCACGTAGCCTAGCTATGCTGGAGACTGTGGACTAGGAATCAAAATTGTCTAGGGCTCCACTAAAGGCAATGTAGGAGATCAGTAGCTCAGCTCATCTGGCTGAGGATGGGATGGGTCAGCTCTGGAGATGCCTTTTTCCATTGACTGAAGCAGAAGCCTAGTTCAATTGCAAATTAAAACGAAAAAGGAAACCAAAAAACTAGTCTAGGTGACTAACTTCAAAAGGCAAGGTGTGGGCTAATCATGTGATGAAAGGAATTCTAGACAATATATAAAAATATTTATTGAAAAATCAAGAATGTTGTGAGTTAAAGAAGAAAATGATCCATATTTTGTTTACAAGTAATAGTAGTAATAAGTAATCCATGCTTTTAAGGGTAACTTCTTTCAAAATTTCAACTTGATCTAACTAATATATCTTCTCACCATTCCAATTTCCTTTTAGGACAGAGAAGAATATATCCAATAAAAATACAAAGCAGTGGGAAATGAAAAAAGTCAATTTAAAAATCAATCCTCCCCGATTTTTTCTATCAACTCCTCTTAGAAATAACACCCAGTATTTTTATAACTGAAATGGATCATAAAAAAATCTCAGTGTGTTCAATTATTTATTTTATGCTTTTGAAAACACTTTTGGGTAATGGGTTTCACTTTTTCACCTTTCATATACCTCATTCTTTCACATAGAAAAATAGAAACCTTTCAAAAATGGAAGGTGATAGCATTTTTTTTATTTTTGTTCATACTTGTGCTTATGAGTTGGTACTGTTCTCACAAATACACAATGGGCTGAAAGCCATGGTAAACATAATACACCATAAGAGGTGATTTTTAACACGATGATTTTTATACAGAACTAAATGTTTATATAATATAAGGGCTTTGTGGAGATTTAAACCAAGAAGTTAATTTATTTTACACCAGATTTTGGAAAGCAAAGTATAGAAGGAAATGTTTAGGAGCATTAAAACAGTGATGGAATCGATTTAACAGTCAATGAAAATGTAATTGGTCCCTAAATCCCAACATACATCACTTTCATGTGTCCATGTTAGAGATGTGGGATGTGAACAAGCAGAGAAATAAGGCAGTAAGAGTACTCTTGGTGATATAATGCAAAAGGAGAAAGCAAATACAGACCATGGCTCTTGTTGACCTATTGCACCCATTAACCTCTGCTCAACCTCCATGGAAAAGTATCAACACAAGCTTGAAGTAACTCAAAAGGTGCAGCAACCATTGACCAAAGAATGGCAAAATAGCGTGAAGATTGGTCAAATCACACAAAGGGTAAGAAGTGTCAGGAAAAATCTAGAGAAAGGGCTGCTCAGTTACAGTGGATAAAAGGAGACTTTGGACACCTGTTAAAATATTGTGTCCATCTGGAGGTCTTTCCCATAGCATGCTTTGTTTTGTAAGTGTTTAATGAGACGTTAAACCCTGCAACAGAGAGTTCTGGTGGGGAGCTGGGGGACAAACTCATGGAATCTCCAGTCTTTTTACTCATTCTGCTACCACTCCCTGACTTTCTCAGGATTTGTGAAGAGAGGGGGGATATATCAACTTAAGAGGTAGGCCCATTTTGAGGTAAATCTTCTTTTCATGCCATGATATGGAGGGAGTACCCTTGCTCAATTCCTTCTTCTAATACCCACTCCTATAGTTTCCCATAAAAAGGCTCTATTGATAGTGAAGAAGTTTACTCTTACTAATTTATTAGCAGTTTATTACTAATCAGCTATGAGATGACTGAACTCTTAACAACTGCTCTAGTACCCATCAGTCCTTTTCAAGTGCCAAGGGGTTTATCCCAGTAAGCACTTTTTACATCTCATGTTACACTTTTTTTTACATCTTTCACAATTTTCTGCACATCCTTTTTTCTCATGGAGAATGTGGTCAGTATTTTATACAGTGGAACTCCTCCTGTCAAGACTTTAGAACTATTATTTAGAAGCATTGATTTTACAGTCTTTTAAAAGAGTTTTTTAAAGCTTGGCCCAAATTGGAAAAAAATGCCTGCAAGCTAAAAAAATTGTTCATGGAAATCTAGATAATCACAACTTGTGTGATAAGCTCTCCTCTTCCATTACTGATTTGGCATACATAACCATTCAATCAATGTATTCTTCTTCACAAAATTTTGGAATTATAACAGCATTCTGCCATCTGGACTAAAAGTCAGTCTTTGTCAAGTGCGCTGAGAAGATTTTAAAGGGTAGACAATCTTCTGAAAGCTTTTAGCCCCTGGGAACTAGATCAATTAAATTGCTCAGTGGTGAATGAGTAGTGAGATAATTTCAGTCTAAAACTTTCTCATGCCCTTTTTTTTTTTTAAATTTGGGATGTTTTAGGATGTAATTTTTATATGTCTGAAACACCTGGAATCCAGTGAAGAAATAATAGAAGTTCTGTACAGACAGAGTGAAATCACGGTTCTTACCCAAAGATTTGGAAGGGAAAAATAAAGATATGACACAATAGAAAATAAATGATACGACACAACAGACAAAAGTGTCAAACAAGCGAGGCTGGAGGGAGGATGAAAACAGTAGCATCACAGGCAGAAGCTATGGTTAATTAGAAACCATGGTTACAACTTGCTAGTTCAATTTGTGCTACAGATTTTTTGTGAAGGCCTCAAAGATACTCTGAGCTAAACCTTAAAAAAATTCTTGTTTATTGTGTATTCTGCTTGTGGGAAATAGGATTCATATAGCATTCATGAGAGACAGTGTATTGATTGGAGAGCAACCCGTTATTGATTGACAAGAGGGATTTTTCTTCAATCTGGCACTTCTATAAAACTCTGTACCTTCCTGTCTGAGTAGTTCCTATATCTATCTGTGCACATGCTATTTTGGGCTGCCAGAAGGTCCTTCATGTTAGGTGTCACAGCCCTAAATCATAGAATCATAGAATGGTTAGAGTTGGAAGGGACCTTAAAGGTCACCTGGTTCCAACCGCCCTGCCGTGGGCAGGGGTAGCTTCCGCTAGACCAGGTTGCTCAAAGCCCCATCCAGCCTGGTCTTTTGTATTTGAATGTCTAATCACTTTCTTCAAAAGCATGAGGATGGATCCTTTAATAAAAGTAGCTAAGTTGCAACTCCATGATAGAGACTGTGCCCTTTTAAGATATTCATAGAATCAGAGAATCATAGAATGGTTTAGGTTGGAAGGGACCTTGAAGACTATCTAGTTCCAACCCCCCTGTCATGGACAGGGACACCTCCCACTAGACCAGGTTGCTCAAAGCCCCATCCAGCCTGGCCTTGAACACTTCTGGGGATGGGGCATCCACAACTTCCCTGGGCAATCTGTTCCTGTGCCTCCCCACCCTCATAGTGAAGAATTTCTTCTTGATATCTATTTTAAATCTCCCCTCTTCCAGTTTGAAGCCATAACCCCTTGTCCTGTCACTACATGACCTTGTAAAAAGTGCCTCTCCAGCTTTCTTGTAGGCCCCCTTCAGATACTGGAAGGCTGCACTAAGGTCTCCCTGGAGTCTTCTCTTTTCCAGGCTTGTTTGTGGTTTAATAAAAGAAGTATTAATGACCATGGAAAGAAGGTGTAAAATCAGTCCTCCATGTTCTTTCTTAGTCTTCCAAATTTTCCACATATCTATGTATATATATCTCAGCAAAAATGGAGTCTCTCTTTTTCCTGTCTTTGCTACTTTCATGAATAATCTAAGCAGTCATTCCTCAGGTATCAGATTAAGGCTAGGAAATGGCCAGGATAAATATGTGTATCTGTTCCAGGTTTCAGAGCAGAGAGCTGCGATAACAACAGGGATGATGCAAAATGAATTGGAGAGCAAACTTTCTGGTTAGGCAAGTGACATAACCTTCTTCTGAACGTGGACCTCGCTGGAATAAACTTGTACCATGGCTCCTTTCCTACTACAAAACATGACGTGACACTGAAACATAAAAACTGTATGGGATCCAATGCTTTTCCAAAAAGTCAGGTTTACTGCGCCCAGGGAGCTGAGCATGCACAGCGTCAAATCCCTGGTGAAAAACAGCAGGCCAGGAGCAGGCTCACATTGCCAAAACACCTCGTGCCACCTATGCCCACTGCTGTCTGTCCCACTGCTGCTTCTTCGGAGTGTCCGGAGAGGGGTTACAGGCCAGATTTATTCTGGTTTGTCAGCCTGCTCCCAGTTGCTGTTTTTCTTTGCTTGTGCAATCAGTTGGGAGAGGGACCTCAGGGCCCTCGGGAAAGGTGGTGCTGGGAGGGAGCTGCAGGTGAGGCAGGTTGTCCTGGCAGGCAGTGTACCGGCTCTGTTGCGGTGATCTTTGCTACAGCTGGTAATAGATAATATAGCCTGTTTGGTTTACAGCTGGCTTAGCATGGTGTCTACCACAGAAAACTGTGTGAGAAGAATCAGGTCATGAAGGCTGGCTAGAGGGTCTATTAAAAAAGGAAAAAAAGAAGGTAAGTTAGGCTCTAGCACATTTGGAAACAGACCTTGGTACCTGTCAACAAGAGGCAGCTACAGGGATATACTTGATGGTGAAGGCAGTGTCTGTCCTGGAGAGCACCAGACAAATTCCAGCTGATGAAAAGTAAAAGAAAGAAAAAAACAAGTGGCTTGTGTCAGCAAAAGAGAACACTATCAGGGTGTAGCTTGAAGGTTTTGGTCCATACCAAGCTTATTATTATTTAGCAATCAAAGACAAGTCTTCTACATTTTGTATTCAGTTTTACCAACATATTTATCAATATTTATCAACATATTTTGACTTTTTCCCTTTTCCTATAATTATATGCAAGTTCCATTTACCAATGATCTGAGTCAATGTCTCTCTTTAATTTCTGTAGGATAAAATCATGGGTAGACAAGATGCAAGAAGATCTCGTAACATTAGCACGAACTGCAAGTGGAGTGGACCAGCTTGCTGCGGTAAGAAGACTGCAATAACTAGAAAGCAAAGTGAATACTGTGCATCATCTAGGCATTATCATCATTTCTTCTCAATGTAGTAAAAAGATTTTGGGGAATTCAACTCTGCAGTGCCTACTGAGAGAGAAATGGATAACACAGACATACACCAATTCACTCTCATTGCTAATATTTAATCAGCTTTGCAGTATCAGACATAAGGCTTACCATTGTTGCAACACTTCCACCTGAAGCCAGTGCTTTTATACTATATGTTTGTCAAATACGGTATCCAGGAAGCAACCATTCACAGCAGTGGAAAATTCTGCTCTCTATTAACAAGGGAGCCTATTTTTCTGACACATATTTCCTGAAATGAGGCAGCTTTTGTTTAGAAGAAACATAGATGAGAATGAAAGCTACTTTTATTCAGCTGTTCCAATTTAACCCTAAGTGTGTTTTAGGGAAGAATTTACAATTCTTTTATCACTAAGAAAAAAAACTTTTGTGCTACATTCCATTCACAGAAGGTAAAAACGCATCAGAGGTTGCAGAAAAATGAAGTTGCAATCAGAAAATGTCAGGATTACACTGCCTATACAACTCTGTGTGTATACATCATGATGCATTATGCAACCACATGATCATACATTTCCTTTTCCAATCCCTTCACAAATCCCATGGCTCCTTCTGTGAACAGATGGATCTCTGGGTTGATGTAGGACTGTATAATGAAGGGAAATTTTGCTGTTACGTCAGGAAAATAAGTTATTCTGTCAGTCAGCAAAAGCCTTTGGTGCTAGGGAGCTGAACATGAAGCTGTGAGATATGGTTTTCAGAAGTCATAATCACCCCAAATGACCCATGAAATGAATAGTAGCTGTGTTTCAAAGCTATTAAGAAACACACAAAAATTAAGTGTGAAGTTTCTCAGATTTAATGCTGTACATTAATGTATTCCTTTGGCCTTAATGACTTTTACCCAGACATTCATGTCTCGTGTATTCCTCCCCAGAAGGACATTTTCTCTTTACTGACTATGAGAGGAGGCTAGATGACTTGCTCAGATGTCCTTGTTTACATTGTGGAAGCTTCAGTTTAGATGAGATCACCACTGTCCTATAGAAGGAAGGGCCGTGTCATTGCATCAGGAAAATAAGGAACATACATAAGGAACATAAAGGAAGATTGTAGACATTATTTTAGTTTTGGCCTTTCCTAATATTTGAAGTGCTTCATATTGCAACACAGTTTAAGGCAGATGTTTTAGATGCACTTTTTAATCTTGGAAAACCCCAAACAAACTGAAAACAAAATCTTGAAATCCTAACACAAAGCATCAGTTTGATACACACATGGGTTTCTAGCATAGGATCTCAACAACACAGAAATGTCTGACACTCGAGCGTTCTGAGTAACTGTAAGGTTTACCCAGCATGGCACACTGATGGGACTTTTTGTAGGTGGATTTCACACGTATCTGCTGACAGAGACCAACGAGGTTTGTGAATCATGTCTCTCTCTCCAGGTTTTGGTGAGGAGTTTCTGCTAAGAAGAGGGAGGGCCCTTCTTGCTCATCTGGTCTAGGTGTGATCTGTTCTCTTCTGCACTTGCAGTGTCTCTTTTTCCCCCACAATCTCCTCATTCAGCATCATACCTCTGATCGACCACTGGACTTTCCATTCCATTCCATTCCTTCTGTGCGGTTTGAGCTATCTTTCATCTCTCAACATATTCTATGTTTGTTTCAGTTTCTACCTTTGGTGCCTGGCCAGTCTAGCTTTCTCCCTTACATCAAATTTGTATACCTATTTTAGGATGTCGCTCCTCAGCTTTTTCCTGTTCAGCACCTTTATCTGCACTCTTCAGTTTGTCTTAGCACTTCCAAAACTTTCTGTTCAGATGCGCTTGTGGCCAGCCTGTCACAATACTCCTATTGCATCTCTTCATTTCCACAGGTATTTTTCTTGCCCCTTCTCACCTTTCCCTCTATCACTAGTTCTCAGTGCCAAACCTATAGTTTTCTCCTGTATGCTTTTTCTATTTCTCCTTCCCCTCCGGTCTCTTCTCTCCGTATTCTTTTCTGCCATTTTTCTGTCTGTTATCTCCTACTTCCATATCCCAATCTCTTGCCCTTTGTTCTTAAGTTTTCATCTCCTCTTTCTCCCACTGCTTAGACCACACTTAGGGTGTAGAGGTCACCTGAGAGAATAGTTTTCTCCTGTATGCTTTTTCTATCTTTCCTTCCCCTCCAGTCTCTTCTCTCCATATTCTTTGCCTGCCATTTTTCTGTCCGTTATCTCCTACTTCCATATCCCACAGCAAGCCTGAGCTTTTGCTGCAGACAGGTGATGTTCTCTAGGAGTGATGCTCTCTGGGTTAGAATACATCTTTGTGTACGTTTTCAGGGATTTAACTGATAAAATCTTTGCAGTGACCCGCAGGTGCTTTTTCAGGCTAAAATTTGTTAAATATCAAAGAGTAAAAAGTGTGTCTTTGAATACAGGTGTTGACTTTTTAATCTACAGTAGAGGGACGGTAGAGTATTTCAAAGGGAAACAAGTTACAGAGGACTTCTAACTTGAGCAAAACAATGAGTTAATGTCTCAACCATTTTGCCTGGCATTTTCAAGGCCACATAGTAAAATAGATAAAGAAAGCCAAGAGATTGGTGCTGTTACTCTTTTTTTCCCTGACGGAAATGTTAGTTTATGTAGTTAATATTCAACAAACTTACAAGATGCAAAAACAGTCTTATAGTGAGAACTTCTGGGCAAACATAATAATACGTAATGCTACCAGCTATACTTAAAGTATACCACAGTATTCCATACCATAAAGTATTCCATTCATGCTGAAGGAAAACATTAGTCTGTGAATACTGTAGGTAAGTACCATTTTGAAAGCCAAAATTTAGAGCATACTTCAAGCAAATAATATGTTGTCTCACAGGGTATCCACAAGGTGGTCAATATGTGCTTGTAATCCTAGGATTAAAAGCGTGAAAGAGGGATGTTTCGATGTAAAATATCCCTCTGTATCAAAGCTGTTTGTTTGACTTAAATTGCATGATGTCTTTCTCTAACCACAAGGTTTTAATTATCTCTCTTGCCTTCAAGGGAGAATGCAAAGCCCTGCAAAGGGTGAGCCATGAATTCTCTCCCTCTCTCTTCTTGTTTACAGGCTATTGTCACTTTCCCATTTTTGAACTGCATCCTTTTTTTTTTCCTGATCTCTGCCTATTAACAGTTAGTCAGATCTCTTCTGAAATGAACCACAATTTGGAAAGATGGAGACTACAAGACATTAAAAACAGCACACTTGCACGCCTGTCACTTCTATTCACACAACTTGCCTTCAGTTGCTCAAGCTTTAAAAATACATAACAGTCAGACTGAATTTTCAGCTTTGCTTCTGACTTATTGTTTCTTCTAACTTCAGATTTGTTTAGACCACGTCTGTAGTCTTTATGTTTTTGGAAAACTTCAAAAAAGAAATAAATGTGTTCGGGTTTTCTGCCCCTCCTCCCTCCAAAAGCAGAATGATTAATACAAAAAGGAGCAGAGTCCTTCTACTGTAAAATAGTCGACATGACTTTCTGTGAACAGCTGTAGTACCAGAGTGTGTAGGGTTGGAAAACTGTACTTTGGTCAGACAGATTTTTGGTAGGAGAAATGTGTTTTCTTGTTCTAGGGAAAATCAATTTTAATTTGGCCAAGTGATGAGGTTAAAGCTCATAGCAAGGACGTGTAGCAGATAACAACCTTTAAACAGCCTGGTCAACTTCTCCCTGGATTCAGGGAAAGAAGTCCTACCAATTCAGCCGAAGTTACAATCTGCATCTGCTTCATACAATTGAGTTTTCTATGAAGATCTCTAAAGTGACCAGGGTAGCTCTCAAAGTAGCACAATTACCATGTTTTCATCTGGAGTGAATTAATTCTTCAAAAACTGGGGCTTTTTCAATTAACTGCTGTGCCATGCAAGTTTATGGTGTTTCCATAACATCTTGAAGATATCTTAGGGTTCATCAATGGTATACGTGCTTGTATGAGTGTTGGATGTCTGCGGGTCTTTGTGTTGCAGAAAATTATACTACACAAAGGTCTCTTCTGGAGAACTGTGAAATATTTTCTCCTAGCCATCATGGAGAGGCATAGGAGCACTGCCTGAACTCTCAATTAATTTGGTTTTAGACTGGGAGAGCTTTTGACCAGAGAGAATGTAAAAAAAAGTGTAATATGTACTTCCAAAATAAAAAAAAATCAAATCTAAAATGCTGTTAAACTGAACTGAGGGACTTGTTAGGTGAATAGCACACCTGTTGAGATCAGGACCTACACAGAAGCCTGATTTATTCTGCAGTGTGGACATAGTGTATACACACATCCAGGGAGAGCATTTTTTGTATTTAAGGTCTTTATGTTCAACATATACTCAATTTAATGGAATCATGTTTAAGGAGAGGAATCTCCTTGGAGGAGAATTCCCTTTTCTTTGATCATTGACAAATTTCTTACAATGACTTGTAATCACAATCTTGTCCTGGTGACTAGCGACTCTTCCTATTGCTTTTGTGCATATAATAGAGTCATTGTAAACCATTGCAACTGTCATTAGTCACAACTTTTGAAAACAGCTGTATAGTGAGGATGTGCAATAATATACTCACGAATATTTCACATAGTGTTAAAAAAGAGAAAATATGTAGGAACTGATTTAGTGAACTACCTCAATAGTGACTATGTTTTTGAAAATACAAATATTTCTTTTCAATATCTCCAGGGTTAGTGACTGCACCACTTCCATGGGCAACTTGTTCTACTGCTTGATAACCTTTTCAGTGAAGAATTTTTTTCCTAATATCCAATCTAACCCGCCCTGGTGCAAGTCGAGACTGCTTCCTCTTGTCCTATTGCCTGTTACTTGCAAGAAGAGACCATCCCCCACCTTGCTGCGACCTCCTTTCAGGTAGTTGTAGAGATCGATAAGGTCTCCCCTCAGCCTCGTTTTCTCCAGGC